TGCTGCCCCCAGTCCTCCTGTGTGACCCTGCACAAGGCACGGGAAGGTGAAGTGTGGTTGTCACTCCTCACTTGGAAGGGACCTTAAAGTCCATCTTGTTCCACCCTTTGGACACCTTCCCCCATCCCAGGTTGGTCCAAGCCCCGTCCAACCTGGCCTTGGACACTTCCAGGGATGGGACAGCCACAGTTGCTCTGGGCAACCTGTGCCAGGGCCTCCCCACCCTCAGAGTCAAGAAGTTCTTCCCAGCTTCTAATCTAAATCTCTCCTCTTAAAATTTAAAACCTCCCCCTTGTCTTATCAGCATGTGCCTGTATAAGAAGTCTCTCTTCCTCTTTTTTCTCTTTAAGTACTGGAAGGTCACAATAAGGTTTCTCCAGAGCCTTCTCTTCTGCAGGTGGAACACCCTCAGCTCTCCCAGCCTGTCTCCATGGCAGAGGTGCTCCAGCCCTCAGAGCATCTCCACGGCCTCCTCTGGACTCACCCTAACAAGGCCACATCTCCCTTGTGCTGAGGATCCCAGACCTGGATGGAGTAATCCAGGTGGAGTCTCACAAGGACAGAGTAGAAAGGGGGGGAAACCTGGGGGCTGCTGAGCCCCTGCCACGGGGTTTATGTGCCTGGGAAGAAAAACAAAAAAACACAGGCAAAGAACAGGCAGCTGCCACAGCTCCACAGGCAGGGCTGAGGCACGTTGGCTGTCCCGGACCAGATCCGTGCCAAGCCCAGCGCCAGCTGGGAGGCAGCTGCAGGTGCAGGACAGCCCATGCCCAGCCCCAGGGTGGCTGCCCGGCCCCAGAGAGGGCCCTGCGACCCGCGGGGAGGGCTGGCTGCCAGGCAGACAAGCAATTAGCTCCAGTTCTCAGAAGTGCTCTTTTAGACCCTGACTTTTCTCCTCTTGCCCAGAGACAAAGTAATTGTGTCTCTCAGCGGGGCTGAACAGCTCTTGGCAGGGAGCACTGCCCCAGGCACTGCAGAGGCGGGGGAGCCAGTGGCTGGGAGAGGTCAGGGCTTATCCTGAAGGGAGGGAGCAGGGCAGAACTGAGTGGAGAGGGACCAAGGGCCACAGGAATCCTGGGCAGTTGCAGGACAGAGAGGGAGAAGGATCTCGCAGAGGTACAAGGCTTGCTCCAAAAAGCTCTGCTGAGCAGAGCTGAGGAGGAACAACATGTTTTTCTCTGGGTTAGGACTGAGCTTGAGCCCACAACCCCCAGGCAACTCAACCGTGCAGCTGCTGAGCCAAGGGCTTCACCGCTGTCCTGCAGAGCCACTCACACACTCTCCTCTGTCACACACCAGGAGTGGAGCTGTCCTGGAGCCAACACAGCACACAGCAGGGCTTACCTTGCTCCAGAGCCTCTGGCAGCGGGCAGCCACTGGCCCCTGGCGTGGCAGGCAGGGGCCTCTGCACTCGGGGCCGGTGAGAAGGGACCGCGATCTTCACCGGCCCCACGTACTCCACGTAGGTGCCAGGGAAGTCCCCCTTCTGCTTGGTCCGCTCGTTGACGCCCAGGATCCACCCGATCTGGTTGGGGGTCTGCTCATCCCCGTCTTTGAAGCCCAGGGACTGCAGGGCCCCCTTGCTGACGACCAGGATGTCCCCGGGCAGCAGGTCGATGTCCTCCTCGCGCTCCTTGCGGTAGGGGTAGAGCGCGCGGTACTGGAAGCCATCGGTGCTGCCCATCCTCTCTGCCGGGGTGGGAGGGGTGAGAAGGGCTCTGAACAGTCAGACAGCACGTTCCAGGCAGGAGAGGAGGGTCCTCAGAGGCAGCTCTCCCCCATCAGCACTCTGAATGTCTCTGCGGGAAGCAGCACCCCAGGAGCCTGGTCCGGGTGCCCTGGAGCACTTTAGGTGCAGCCCCTTTTCCTGAGCTTGAAACCACGATTCAGCCAAATTATGGAGCAAAGGGAGAAGGAGACAAACATAATCCAGCACTGGTGAGCGGGCATGCAGCAAGGAAACCCGAGGTCAGGGTCCGTTTCACCAAAAAAGAAGCAGATTTCTTGGAGTCTGGGGGGCTTCCAGCCCGGAACAGTGCGTGGTGCTACGTCCCCCTTCCCAGTGCCTGCAAAGAGAAGAAGACTTGTCACTGCACAGCCAGGCACCCCACACCCTCCTGATACGCCAACATTCAAACTAGGGGTTCACCTGAGAGAGGCAGGACTCGTTTCTCTCCTATCTACCAGTTGATGCTGAGCCCTGAATCCAACCAGGACATGCTAATCCCGATTTCCACTCCCAAAAGCAAGCGAGGAGCCGGTGGCTGCAGGCAGGAATGCCACCTCCTCCCTGCTACAGCCAAGCACCAGCTCTGCATCTTAAAGAGGTTCACTCCTGCTTCTTCAGCTTACCCTCCTCGAAGCACTTATGCAAACAAGGAGACAAGGAGTGAGACAAAACAGCCTTTATGCGGGATAACTTTCGCATACAGAAAAGGATGACCCTGCACCCACCAGCTGCAGGCCCTGAATAGGAGCAGAACAAACAGATTTAACCTTTCCTTGTAAAATCCATTAAATTTCACAGTTCACCTTTATATCTCGCCACGAAATCCCCCACAAAGGCATCTTCTGAAGGGAGCTGCCCACAAATGTAGGTTAACCAAGCTTTCAGCGAAAGGCTTTTGAGATGTGCTGCCATTCCCACAGAGGCAGCACTTCAAAGCTTTGCTCTGAGCTAAAAGTCAATTTTTGAACTTTTTCAAAAGCACCAACAGCATCAAGTGCGGGCATGGGTTCCTTTTGCAGGGATGGAGGCGAGAGGAGTTAAAATAATCTTTAGATGCCTTCAAGTCTGCTTAGAGCTCCTAACTGCCTTTCAGCTATTCAGAGAGAAGTTGAATACGCTGCCTGTCGTGCCCAGAAATCCACCAAAAAGAATAAACCTGGGTTATAACATGTTGTGGAAGAGATGTACGAGCTGGGGCATTCCCATCAGCCAGGCACGTCCTCTTTTCCCATCCCTTCCCGGCTGCACAGGCCAGTTTTCCACCTCCCCCAGGCAAATCCCAGCATTCCGGACCTACAAGGCACCAGGGCAGCCAGAAACCAGCCTTCCCAGGGACACCCTGGGCCCGCTGAAACGCTGCAGGTCCTGCTAACAGCTTGAAGCTGCTTTGGCCCAGAAACCACCAAACCCAGCTCAAAACTCTCGAGTCTCATCTGAAAACTATTAGAGAGCAGGAAGGCTCTTCTCAGGGCTGCGGGAGCCGGGGCAGAGAGGGAGGGGAGGAGGCAAAGGGAGCCAGGACACCCTTCCCAGCGGGGTCAGCGCACAACCAAGCACGGCACGAGGCCAAGGCTGCTCCGACCGCAGGTTGGACTCTGCCGAGAGGCACCAACGGTGGTGATCTGCAGGATTTCAAAATAACCCTTCTGGGCCAGCAGCACGTTACAGTTCATATCAGCCACAAAGCCCTTTTTCCCCTGCCGTGTGCGGTGTCACTCCGCACGTGCCAACACACCTGCACGTGCCACCAACCCATGCACGTGCTGTGCTGCCACAAAGTCTGAAGATCGGGGTAAGTCCCCTCTGAGAGGAGCCAGCTCCGCCTCTCCACAGCCAGGCTCTCCAGCCCGGCACCAGGCTGAGGGCTCCTTCCCTCGACAAGGACAAAAGGCACAAAAAGGCCATGGCACAGGAAACCTGCGCAGCAGCCAGAGCTTGCACCGCCTGCCTGAGCTCGGGCAGGAGTCCCAGCCAGGCTGTCTTTGCCATGAATGAACAGGCGCTGCCTGCGGGGAGGTGAGGCACTTGCGGCCAGAGGCGGGTGGGGAACAGGATTAAGCCTGATCCAGGTTGCTGGAGAGCTTCTCCAGAGCTCCAGGAGCAACGCCACGGCTGCAAGTTTCACGGAGGGCTCCTGGGGAGGTCCCTCGTTGTTCCTAGGGGAAGCGGCACATCCCAGCGCGGCTGCCGTGAGAGCTGCCACCACGCTGGGATTCAGCTGCAAGCAGGGCCTGCATTCCCCCAAGCCAACCAAGCCCCAGCCAGGAAAATATTACTTCATAATCCAGAGCATAAAGAGAGATTTATGGCCAGGCTTACTGGCTGCCCCTCCGAACGCTGCCTGTCGAGGAGTCGCAGCGCCGCGGGCACCGTCTGAGTGCCAAGGGCCTGAGTGGGAACGGCGCCGGCAGCTCCCGCTCCTCCCAGAGAGGACAGACCCCAAAAGGCACCCAGAGGCAGCAGAGCCCAAACCCAGCGGGGTCGATGCTCCCCTGCAGGCACCCCCTCAGCTCCCGCCCGCAGATCCCAGCCCCGACTCCCGGCGCCTCCGACGAGTCGGTGCAGCCGAAGAGGCTGGAAGGACAGAAATGCTCAGCCCTGGCAAACTCGTTCAGTAGCTTTTAAAAGCAGATCTGCGTGGAGGGGTGGGAAGAGGAGAGTGACTCGGGAGCACCGAGTGTCTCCAAAGAGCAGGTCCCGCAGCTTCTTCCAACCGACTCCTTCCCCAGCCTTGTTCCCTGGGGCGGGAAAGCAGAGGCAGCTCTGTGCCACCCTGTGGGTCACTGGGCACGTGAAACAATCCACAGGACTTAAAGCCAGGCCGGTCCTGGAGCGGTTTCACCTGCCTTCCCCACGCTCAGCCCACGTGGGCACCGAGCGCTCCGCGAGGAGCCCCCAACCCCGGGGAAATCCGAATCCACGTGGTTAATCCGGTACCAACCTCTCCAGGGGGAACAGTCGTCCTCTGCCCCGCCACGGACCCAGCGAGCGGCTTCCTTGGCCGAGCCAACAGCCGGGACAGCTCTGCACCCGGCCGAGTCTGCGCGTCTCCGCGGATCGGGAACGCGCTTCCCAAAGCCCTGGAACAACTCCGTGCAGGGAAGGCAGGGCCGAGAGGCCGGGACACGCACGAGCCTGTCGGCTGCAAGCACACCTCGGAGCAGGGGAGAGGGAGCAGCCTGCCAAAAGATTTCGCCCGGGCCCAGCTCCAGGTTTGCTCAGCTCTCGGAGAAGAACCTCATGTGTCTGTGCTGGCAAGCACTTGCTTAAAGGCTGCTCTGCAAATCCCATGCATCAGACAGCTAAATACCTTTGGTAAATCTATCTCAGCGCCCAGAAACAATCCCCTGATTCATTAACTGCTGTCAATACTTTCTTTGTTTAATGCATCGGTTTGAAACAAAAAACACATTACGAGCCTTTTTGTGTGTGCCCAGCGCATAAATAAAAGCATCTTAGCGTTTTAAATATGGTTCCTGTGCTTTTTCACCCAGTTCCAAACGCGGCTCAGAGTGCAGCTCGAGTTGAAGTGAGACTGAGCGCTGCCTTCCCTCCAGTGAGGGGAAAGAATGCCTAAAAATATTTAGAAGAAGAATATGCCTGCACCGATCTACGCAGCCCCAAAACCTCCCCAAGTTACATCAGATCCTCAGCGAGCAAAACAAACAGCAAATCAGGTTTTGAACTGCACGTTGCAGACAGTGAGAGCAAACTTTTCCTTCAATAAAAAGAGAAAACAGGACAATGCCAAGATAAAAATGGACACTCCTGCTGTCGTGACATCTGCTACTGCATCACATCCCCCTGATTTACATAGCCAGGGCAGCTCCTGCCCATGGCCACGAGCTGCCCTTTCCCAGGGACACAGCATTTTCTGCTCACGCTTGAGTTTCATTAAGCATTTTGCTTTGTTCACCAAAGCCCAAGGATGCGAAGGAATATCTGGAACATTTCAGGGAAAAGGTCAGTGTCATGGTTAGCAGGGATCTGAGGAGCTGGATAAATCCCTGCCTTGGCATGACTGATACCTTTCTCGCTTTTGGGAGATGCCTGGAGGTCCCAGTGAGCTCCTCAAAGGCTGGAGCACCTCAGGTATTGTGCACAACTACTCCAAAACTTCTCATACTGTTCAGAGGCTTCTAACATCCAACTTTTTTGCTTCAGCTGAACCTCATCCTCTCTTAACCTCCTCAGAAACTTTCTCCTCCTCCATTCAAGAGCTTTTTATTTGGCCAGAGACTTCTACATGCCAGCAGCGAGCAAAGAAGGACCCAGTGCCCTAAACCAGCTCCACCACCTCGCTCCAGGCTGGCCTTTTCCCCATCTCCCAAGCAGCAAGAACACACTTAATTCCATTTTCGGAGCACTCATGGAGCTGGGTTTAGGGATATATAAACCCAGGAGCTGTATTTTGGCTCCTTCCCTCAAAAATTACAGTTCTAAAAAAAAACCTGAGTACATGAAAAAAAAAAAAAAAATCCAACTGTTCTCTCTCTAACTTATCTGCTTAAAATCACATTCCCCGGGGTATTTGGAATTTATATGATTTATTAGCAGCCCTGCACAGCTCAGCAATCACATGAAGTAACCAAGAGGCAAGAGGCACCCACATTAGCAGACCAGCACTATTTGGGTGTCGGCGAGAGAGCTGAGACCTTTCAGCTTGAGAAACCCACCGTCCCCTTCCTCTGTTTGCTTTTTATCTTCCATTACTCAGCCGCTCCAGCTCCGAGCCCCAGCTCCAGAGGATTCCCAGAGGAATTAAAAAGAGCCCTCAACATTATAAATACTCTTTTTTTTTTTTCATTGTAAACACACCCCGGCACCCGGCGCTCTGACACGGCTCCAAACTGGCTCCGAACAAACCGCTCTGCTCCTCGCCACATTCCAGATGAATTTCCAGCGCTCTCCCTTCCAAACCCAGAGCTTTTGTCCGGCGAGACCCCAACTGCGGGCAGGAAAGGATTTTCCTGTGTGCCTAAACCCTCGTTGCACCGAGTCAAAAGCAGAGGGTTTTGGGGCAGCGGCCCAAGTTCGGGAGGAATGAATCGGTGCCACGAACCGCAGGGGCAAATGGAAGCACGATCTGCCCACGTCAAAGGGAGTCACCAAAGAAACCAAACCATGCCTTGGACTTTCCCACATGGTGGATGACTAGAGCAGAGGCCAATCCAGCCTCGGGGACACACCAGCCCTTGGCAGGGCGGGGGAATGGCCAGGAAAGCAGTGATTTAGGCTATATTTACTCAGCTGTCTCCATTCCCTGCTCTCACAGAGAAAGTCACAGGGCCAGTTCCCCAGTGGCTCCGAGAGCTGCTTGGGAAATCAAAGCTGCACATTAATGGGAGGAGAGGCAGCCGTGGCTCCACCAAAAGGCAACGCTGGGGCCGCTCCAGCTCCTGCAGATCCCATTTTAGATAGTTTTCAACCCTGGTTTTATTCCCCATTGAGCACAGATCCCCCTTGGGAGGTGCTGGAATCATCCTCCTCGTGGGGCTGAGAAACACCGACAGAGGGAGAAGAAATGGTGTGACCAACCTCCCTGGGGACAGTGGGATGGCTCATCCCAGAGCCAGGGTTTGGGGGCAACCGTGTCTAGAGAGAGCAAAGCCTCCCCCAAGGCTGAACTCTGGCACATCCAGCCAGGCAGGGGCACCAGCTCTAGCCCGGGGTCTGCTGGTGCTGTGGGGCAGGGAGAGAACAGGCTGACCCCCACAGGCTGCCCCCCACAGATCTCTGGCTCTGCCACCCCGAAAGGGTGCCTAGGACCCCCAGAAAGGGGGGAAATGTACTCTGCTGAGGCGGATCCCTAAACTGGCACCACTGCGGGGGGAATGGTACAGGCGAACCCGTGATGGCACTGCTGGGATGGAGACAGCACGGGGAAATTGGGGGGGAGGGGGGAACAGCCCCTTCACGAGGAGGGGAAAAGGACAGCCTGGAGGGGGGATCAGTGGGGGCACAGCCCCTGCATGGGGAGGGGGTAGGGACAGCCTGGGGGGGGGGATCAGTGGGGGCACAGCCCCGGAGTGGGCAGGGGGCAGGGACAGCCTAGGGGGGGATCAGTGGGGGCACAGCCCCAGAGTGGGCAGGGGGCAGGGACAAGCTCAGGGGTGTCCCTGCCCTGGCAGCGGGACACGGCGCGCTGGCACCTCCCGCATGTCCGGGCACATCCCCGAGGCCGCGCCAGCACGGACAGAGCCCCGGCCCGGGGCCCACCCCGGGGGTCCCCGCCAGGCCCCGGGGGCGCCTCACGTTGAGGGGGGGGCCAGACGCCGTCCCTGGCTCCGATTCCGGCCCCTCAGCCCGATCTCCACTGCCCCGATCCCCCGGTCCCGGCCCCGTTCCCACCTCTCCGCCGGCCCCATCCGCCGCCGCCCGGTTCCAGCCCCGCTCTGCCGCCTCCGGCCCGGCCCAGCCTGGGACAGGCCCGAGCGCCGCCGGAACGGCCCGAACCCTCCCCGGAAACAGCCGAGCGAGAACGGAACGGCCCGAACACGCCCCGGAAACAGCCGAGCGAGGACGGAACGGTCCGAAGGGGAGGCCCCGCCCCCTTCCGCCGCTCGCCCGCCGTCGGGGCCCCTCCCCGCGCACGCGCAGTTCCGGAAAGAGCCGAAGGGGCCCGAAGGGAGTGCGCGGCGGCGCCCCCTGGCGGCGGAACGGGACAGCGGGGAGGGCACCGCGCCAGGATAGAACGGGGATAGTACCGGGATAAAACCGGGATAGCACCAGGATAGAAGCGAGATAACACCGGGATAGCACCGGAATAAAACCAGGCACTGGGATAGAACCTGGATTGTACTGGGATAGCACTGGTATAGCACCAGGATTATACTGGGATCGGACCAGAATGGCAGAGGGATAGCATCAGGATTGTACTGGGATAGCACCGGGATTACACCAGGACTGGACTGGGATACCACCGGGATAGCACTGGAATTGCACCGGGATGGCACCGGGCATGGGGCAAAGCCCCGGGCACTGCTCATGAGGCACGGCACCGGGACTGTGCCCGGGCACTGCGATTACTCTGGGAATGGGGCACAGCGCAAAGCACCGGGACTGCTCTGGGCACCGAGCATGGGATACGGGCACGGGCGTGGGGCACCGGGCACGGCACCGGGCACAGACCTGGGGACAGGGCTTGGCGCCAAGCACGGGGCACCGCACCGCGCGTGGGTCACCCGTCCACCCCTTGCCACCACCCCCTGGAACGGGCACTCCCTGCCCAGCCACGCTCCAGGGCCAGCACTGCCCATCCCACCCCCGGCTCTCCACACCACACTCAGCGCCAGGGACGATTTTAATCCAACATAAAACTTGCCGAAGGTACGAACAGAGCCGGGCGCTGGGCAGGAAGACACCAGTTCCCCTTGGCTTTTGAGACATTTTCCATCAAAAATTCCTTTCGGTGCACAGCCAACCCCCCCCCCGCCCCGCTTCCCGTTGGCAGGGGGTGCCCGGTTTGTCCCCCAAAACCCCGCTGCCTTCCCGAGACCTTCACACAGACAGTGGAGGAAAGAAGCAAAGGAAACACGGAGCAGCTCTGGCGGCTCGTTTTTTGGGGAGGGTTTAACGGCACCAGTTTAACGGGAGAAGCGGGATGGGGAGCCTGGTACAAACCACACGTGCACAAAATAACCCCAACACACAGCCCAAAAACCCACCAGGGCCACGGTGGTGCCTGGTGGGGGGGAAAGCCAGAACATGCATTAACAAACGGGAACGTTTATACCCTAGAAAATGGTAGAAATAGGGGGGGAAATGCTGGGCTGAGCTGTAGTTTGTTGAATAGAACAACAAAGGGGAGGGGGAACAAGGGGGTAAAATTCCCAAATTGCAGGTGCTCACTGGGTTAGGGTGGATTTGTTTTAAAAAACAAGGAGAAGTTGGGATTTTATGGGTGTCTATGCACTGACCGACCAACACCACAGGATTTGGGGGCAGAGAAAGAGCAAAATCTGACCCTAAAAATCCCCTTAATATTCACATCCAGTTGCTGACCCTGTGGCAATGTCTCTCTTTTTCTCCCCCTGGAAGGGCCCATGAAGCCTGGTGGCTCCAAAAGGCTCCAATAAAATAATCAAACCCTTTACATCCACTGTGCACTTATAAAATGACCCATATGTCCATCATCTTCTGATCCATATGCAAATAAAATCCCCCCTCTGCATCCCAGCCTGGAGCACCAGCATTTGGGGGATGTTGCTGTAGGCTTGGGGTTTTGTTTTAATTTTAAATGTTAGAATTTGTGTTTCTTAGGACATCTGGGGTGTTTCCAGCTAAAACTGAAGTTAGAAAGTAGGGAAAAGCGAGTGGGGTCTTTGCAATGTTAGAAAACAGTGTGCCATCCATCTGGAAGCTGGGAGACACACGGAAAAGGCTGGGACTCCCAGAGCTGGGTTGGACCCTGTGACGGCCCTGCACTGCCCGTTTAGCTTATAAAAAGTAATAAATTAATTAAGGAATATTTGCATCGAGTCCTTTCTGTACACAGAGGGTGGGGCCGCCGCCGGGAAAAGCTCCTGCATCTCTATAAAAATATGAGCATCTCTCGGGGAGTACAAAAAGCCTTCACAGGGGGGAGAAAGGGCCCAGCCAGCGCCAACGTCCAGAGCGGCTCCAGGGACGTTTCTCTCATGGATATGCTGTGTGGGACGGAGTTTTCGGGGACGTGGTTGGGGTGCCCCAGGGAGCCCGAACCACCCCTGGTGCCAGCGTGGGGCTCATGAGTGCTTGGCCCCGCTCCACGTGCCACGCCGGGGCGCGGGGAGATGAGCCCCCGGCAGCTCCTGGCCCCGTGCCGGCGCTTCCCGGTGGCCCATTGATCCCTCCCCAGAGTTCCGGCGCTGCTGGGAGCCACGGTCCCGGTGCTCGCACCCGTTCCACCACGGCAGGGGGATGCTGCCGTCCGGCTGCCGGGCGCTGCCGATGGGGTAGGAGCCCTGGCATTCCCACTCGGGCACCGCCGGCTCCTGCTCGTCGCTCTCGGAGCCCTGCACCGCGATCTGGGGCACGGGGCTGGGCTTCAGCCTCGGCTGCGGCTCCGCGCCCTGCGGGGTCGTGCCCGGCCCATCTTCGCTCTTCCCGCCGTCTTCGCCTCCCGGCACCGTCTCCTGCTCGTCAAAACTCACTTCTTGGACCGCCTCTTGCTTCTTGAAGGAGTCCCTGCGCTCGGAGAGGTTCAGGCGCCGCATGACCACCATCTCCTGGTCCCGGTCGTGCCTCTCCCCGAGCCGGGAGCTGGCGGGGTGGTAACCGTGCTCCCCTGGGTAGGGCAGCGCTTCTCCCTCCCCGATGGCCTCCGCGTCCATCGGGGACATCTCCAGCCCCAGCTTGCGGCCGCCGCAGCTTTTCTTCTCGGCCAGGATGGTGACGATCTTCTCGGCCGACTGGACGCGCTTGAGGAGGGGGGAGCGGGGGCAGTCGGCGCTGCGGGGCCGGGAGCTCTGCCGGACGATGGTGGGGGGCGACAGGGTCTTGCCCTGGAAGGAGTGGGGGGTTTTGGGGAACCCGGGGAGCGGAGAGGGGGAGCGCTGGGGGGAAGGCGGGCGCTGGGAGGAGGAAGGGGTGCAGGCGAGGGGCGAGGGGGGGATGCTGCTGGTGGATTTGCGGCGCCCCACTTTGTAGCGCTGCCCGCCCAGTTTGGGGGCCAGCCCGTGCAGGGAGCTGGGGCGCACGTGGCCGGCGGGCGACGTTGGGGTGCTGGAGGAGGGAGAGGTGCTCTGCGGGGACACGGCATCTGCCACACAAAGAGAAACAACGGGTGGCTGTAGGGACGGAGGGAGGGACGCGCGGCATCCCCTGAGGGACACGCGGCATCCCGCCCTGCCCCTCGCCACGAACCTCCCCCCCCTTGCCACGGTCGGGGTACCTGAGGGCAGGTCGGGAGCAGGGCTCCGGCAGGGTGTGGTGGGACCTGGGGACAGGCTGTGCGTGGGGGACTCCGGGAGGCTCTCGCTGGAGGACAGAGAGTGGTGGAGGCCGGAGGAGAAGCTGCGGCTGGTGTGCAGGACCGACGACTGCTTGGAGATCTTCTTGAAGAGGGATTTTCTCCTGCTGCAAGGGACAAGAATAATTCTCCTTAAAGCTGGCGGCTCCAAGTCTGCCGACCTGGTACCACCAGCAGGACCAGAACCTGTGGACACCCGAGTGTGGCAGATCCAGAGCATCCAACCCAGAGCTGGCAGGACCAGATCCCACTGGACACCTCAGAATGGCATGTCCAGAGCATCCCCCTGGTATGGCACACACCAGGTCAAATTCTTCATCCACTTTATCCCACCCCAGCTCTACCCACCTGTCCTGGCCATCCCTTTTCCTGCTCTTCTTACTCCTCCTCGCCATCCTCGTCTTGGAGCTGTTTTTCCTGGCAGGGCCGATTTTGATGGAGGTGTTCTCCAGGGCCGTGGTGCGCAGGGCCACTTTATTCCCGCTCTGAGGGGTGGAAAACAAATCACTGTAGGAGCAGATCCAAACCCGCTCCTGCCACCAGATCCAGCTGGCAGAGGTGACGCCAGGGAGCTGCTGAATTGATATCCCCGGTTCCCGGAGAGCAGAGCAGAGCAGCTCTGGACACTCACCTTGAGCAGCAGCTCCACGACATCCCGGTGAACCAGGCCCAGCACGGACTCTCCGTTCACGTGTGTGATGAGATCGCCCGCCCTCAGCCCTGCCTCCTGCGCGGGGCTCCCCTCTTCCACGCTCTGCCAGCAGAAGATCGGGATTTCATTCGGAAGCAAGTTCCCTCCTGGGGTTTTCCCAGTGGGAGATGCCCCGCCTGGCAGCGCCAGTGCCTCCCCACACGTACCCAGACCATGTGGTGCACGGTGTAGACGTCGCTGTCGCCCATGTAGACGCGGATGGCCCGCAGGGTGAAGCCGTACTTCTTCCCCGAGCTGTGGATGATGATGGGCGGCCGCAGGCTGGCGATGGCGAGGGATGAGTCCCGGCTCGGGGAGGAGTCACGGGAAGAGGGGTTGGATGAGAGGGAGTGAGGGGAGATGGGGCTCATCAAGGCGCCACCACCGAAGTCATCTGCAAGCGGGAGAAGCCGGCTCAGCCCGGGAAAACCACGCAACAGCCACTGACCAGGATAAACCAGGGAGCACACGGACCTGACGTGATGATGAGGGACAGGGCTGAGACGGAGGCGGATTTGGGGACACGGCTGCCCAGCGAGGCCCTTTGCCTCTCCGGCACATCCTTCTGGGTGCTCAGCCGACGGCCCCCGCTGGGCTCCAGGCTCCGCGGAGTCGAGTTTTTGGTGCCGGTGCTGTTGCTCCGGAGGCGGATGCGGTTGAGGTTGGCAAGATCAGCTGCACAGAGGGGAGGAGGGAGAGTTTGGGGATGTGGAAAAGCCACCCCGTGCCACGCAGAACCCCGGGTGGCCCTGGAGCACCCCACGCCTACGCACCGGATAACGCCGACTGCTTCACCGCACCACCGGGGCCCACCTCGGGATCTCCCACCACAAACTTGGGTCTCTCCGGCTTGGTGGACGCCACATAGGGGCTCTCATCCTCCGAGGAGAAGGCAAACTTGGGCATAGTGTCCAGGCTGAGGGTGCTGGGCAGCACGGTGGGGCTGCGGCTCCGCTCGTGCCGGGAGGTGTACGGCGTGGAGCTGCAGGACGTCCACGAGCGGAGCCTGCGTGGCAAGAGCGGGGAGGGCTTAGGACTACCAATGATGGGTGGAGAGGGATGGCACCAGGATCCTCAGCACCCCAGGACACTTCCCAGTGACCCCTCTGCCCGCCCTCAGTCCCAGCACAAAGCCCTGGCAGCAGCACAAACCCCCAAGCGTCAGCACAAATCCTTGGTGCCAGCACAAAGCCCTCAGTGTTGGCACAAACCCTTGGCACCAGGAGAAGCCTGCACCACCCCACACCATCCCCCCCACCTCACCACGCACCGGGGCTCAGTGCCTGCTGGCCTGCTCTTGTCCTCGTCTCCCGAGTGCCTGTCCCATCGCTCCTCCTTCTCATCGCTGTGACTCCGGTCGGAGGACGAGAGGCTGAGGTTGGAGTTGACCGCCAGGAATTCCGAGCTGCTGTACACCTGAGGAGGAGAGGAGCTGTCAGCAAGGAGCAGAAATCTGGGAATCCCGACGATCCAGGGTCAGCCAAAACACTGATGCTCAGCACAGTCGCCACTGGCTGCAGCGCCAAAGCGTTTTGGATGAGGGAGGGTGGACTGGAGCACCTTGCTGAAGCGGTGGGAGCAGGAGGAGAACTGCCCGATCTCCACCGATGACTCCTCGTCGTTGGTTTCCTCATCTTCCGAATCCAGGTGGTGATACCTCTCGGAACGAGCTGGAAGCAGGAGCCAGAGTGGGCAGGGCTGTCACCCTGCCTGCAACACCTACACATCCTGCCAGGTGGGACCTACCCCCGTGGGGTGACAGCCCAAGCCCAGTCCCAAATCCCAGGGGAGTTTTGGGGGGAGAAGGTTGGTAAGGGTGGGCAGCCTGGAAAGAGGATTCCATCTGTTCTGTGGCTTTGGTTGTAAGGGGACCAGTTTCACCCAGGAGAGTCTCATCTCCCATGGGAGCATCCCAAGTGCAGCTGGAATAATGGATTGGCAGAGGGGGGAAGGGGATGGGTTTGGCCTCACTGTCAAAGTAGCTGGTGTCGTCCTCTGACTCCAGCTGGGGAATGAACTCAGCCTTCTGCCGCAGCAGCCCATTCCAGTCCAGGTGGAGGAAGAAGGAGTGATGCTTCACCTCGTGTGCACCTCCTGCCAGGCAGAGAAACCCACATCAGGGGGACAGGGCAGGAATCCGGGATGCTCCCACTCCCATTCCAAGTGGCACAGCCTCTCCTCCACGCAGAGCAAATGGCTTAAGAAGGGTGGACTGGAGCTCTGTGCAGCCCTCCTGAGGTGAACCCTGAGCAGGAGAGCTCCTCTGAGCACCCTCAACGTGGCAGGACACACTTTGGATTCAGCATCACCCAAGATTAATCAGAACTGGGGGGCCAGGTCACCCTCCTTAGTGCTACATGGGGGGGCTGCCACACGTACCAGTGCCCAAGCGTTCAAGGGGACACTGTCTCAGCAACCGTGTGATCAGGTCCTGGGCATCTGCAGGAAGAGCCTCGTCCCCTTCTGGCCACATAATTTCATCTGCGAGGAAAAACGAGAAGGAGTTTGGAGGGGCTGGAAGGGTTTGGACACTCCTGGGCAACAGGAAAGTCCCCCAGGAACCACGGCAGGTAAAGCGTCCTCCCAAAGTGGGAAATCAGAACTTGAGGAACCCCCTCATGGTTCCCACAAGTACGTCACGAAGGAATGAAGCCCCCCACGTGTTAAGGACAAGCCACAGCTGCTGGAAAGGGCAAACCAAGGGGCAAACTTGCCACTGAGACTCACCACTGATAACCTGGCCGAAGAGCTCCTCGGGGGTGTCTCCGAAGAAGGGCACGCAGCCCACCAGGAACTCGTAGAGGATGATGCCCATGGCCCACCAATCCACGGGCTTCCCGTAGCCCTGGATGAGGATGACTTCGGGGGCAATGTACTCCGGGGTGCCGCACACCTGCGTGGGGAGCAGTGCCTGACACCCCTGCACTGGCCTTTGCAAGGAGTCTCGAGGCCGCCCCGGTGATGGCAGGTCAGCCAAGGGGAGGAGGAGCTCGTACCTGCTTGTCCATGAACTCCCGAGTGTCCTTCTCCATGTGTCCCTCGTAGAGGTTCGTGGTCATGTTCATCAGGCCAATCTTTGACAGACCGAAGTCTGTCAGCTTTATGTGGCCCATGGAGGTGATGAGCAAACTGCAGGAGGAGACAGACACCCCACAACGCTGCTGTTTGCTTCTGGGGAGACCCAGGGATGACCAGCTGCACCAGAACCAGGACTTTGGGCACCAAAATCCATCACCTCATTCTGCCCTATCCTCTAGGCTTTCCCTTGCCCACCCAAACCCGACCCCACCCTTGCTCAGACCTGGCCCATGTCCTCACTTGTCAGGTTTGAGGTCCCGGTGGACGATGCCGTAGTTGTGCAGATACTCCAGCGCAAGGACGGTCTCGGCGAAGTACATCTTGGCCATGTCGACAGGCAGCGGGCCCATGTTCTTCAGCAACGTGGCACAATCCCCCCCTGTGGGCACACGGGGGGCTCAGAGAAGGCAGGAAGGTCGGCAGGCCCAGCAGGCTCCCAGCCAGACCCTCACACCCCTCCTCAGAGCAACTGATCCCCAGGCATGGGGCACAAACGCTCTCCGAGGTGCCACCACCCTCATCAGGGTCACAAAAGCATCTCCTGGTGCTTCCCTCTGCTCCCTGCAGCAAAGCAGGGCAAGAGGTGCCCAGGTGGTGTCCTCCACGCTCAGACACTGATATCCTCCCCTCCTCACTGCACCGCTCTCACCTTCCACGTACTCCATCACCATGCAGAGGTGTCGCTTCGTCTCGAAGGAGCAGAACATGCTGACCACGAAGGGGTTCTCTGCAAAGGTGAGGATGTCCCTCTCCACGAACACCTGCTGGATCTGGTTCCTCAGGATAAGGTTCTGCTTGTTGATCTTCTTCAAGGCGAAGCGCTGCCGCGTCTCCCTGTGCCTCACCAGGTACACAGCCCTGGAGAGAGCAAAACACCTGCACCTCAAAGGCCATCCTCCAACCACCAGGACTGATCACACAGACCACAGGGCTCGGACAGGGAGGACTTTGGAGTGGTTTATGGGCGGAGACAAGTGATAGGAACTTCCCAGCTCACCCATAAGCCCCGTTGCTGATCAGCTTGATGGTCTCAAAGTCCCCCTCGCAGGGTTTCCTCCGTGGAACAGTGACTGAAGGCTGGCTCTGGAGAAGACATAGAAGGTTTTTAATGTTTCCCAGTGCTCTGGAGCTGTGATTGCAGGCAGGAATTCACCCAGCACCACCATGTATCACCTCCAAGTGTTTCTTGCTGCCAGAGCCCTCTCCAGCCACAAACCCCAAACCAGATCAAGAGCTCTGTCCACCCAAGAAGCCAGATGAGGGACTGTGAGATATTACCCTTGAATCCATCAGTCACCCTTGGGGACCACCCAAATTAACATCTCCCAATCTAGGCCAGCAGAGGAGCTGCTGCAAGGAGCTCTGATGTGGGGTGAGGCAGAAGGGAGCTGAAGGCACAGGTGGGGATACAGATGTTGGACCGTGCTCACCTCACAGGCGTCATCGTTCTCTGGAGTGATGGTGTTCCCGCTGTCAAAGTGATCCAGCTGGCCCATTTCTGCAGGTGACAGGGATGAGTCTCATTTTCTTCATGCTCGAGACCCCCACCAAAATTACCCCCTCCCCAGCCGCTCCCCCTCCAAACTCAGAGATCCTGCAGGGATTTAGCCACATGCTCTGCCCGACCCATGGTATGGAGAAATCCAGGTCATGACGTTAAGAGGTTCAACACGAGGTTAAACATTTATATAATTCTTTTTTTTTTTTTTTTTTTGATAGTCATTCCTGCATTCTCCAGGGATTATGGTTTCCCCCCCCCCAGGGCCATGGATTAAGTGTTTTTGAGCTTAATCTGCTTTGCTGAACGTGTTGGAAGCAATAATAAGGGATGTGGGGCTGGCCAGGAGGAGTTGGACATCATCCTGGTCCTGCTGTGACCCCCCTGCCATGACACCAGCTCAGCCTTCCAGGTCCCGCTGCCACCTCCCAGTGCCCGTTCAGTGGTCAAACTGGGAGGCTGCAGCTCACTGCAGACGCCAGGGCCACCAACCCAAGTGTTTCCCTACCCTCCAGTGGATCCTTGACGAGCCCCAGTTGGCTAATGATGTATCGGGGAATATCAGTCTTTATTCCCTGGCCGACTTTGGCGTGTCCTTCTGCGGCTTCCAGGAGGTGGTAAAACTCCTCTGGGTCAAACTCCTGCATGGGGAAAACCAAGCACAGCTGAGGAGGGAGATTGTGCAGGGTTCAAACTTTTCTCTAGGCCTTGCAGGCGACACCTGTAATTGGGGATAGACCCTGGATGTGTCGTTCCCCCTGGATGCATCGTTCCCCACGTCAAGAGTGATGGAAAAACAATGTAGCTCTGTGAGTTGGAGGGAAAACAAAGGAGAGCACATCAACAGCACACTGCATCATGACCCCCCTTCATCCAGCTGCAGGAACCACAGCACAAAGGCGAGTGCTTTAGAAATTCAGCACCATCAGCCAAAAAACAACCAAACCTGAAAACCACAGAATGAGGAGGAGACCTTAAAGCCTTCCACTAGAACAGGTTGCTCCAAGCCCCGTCCAACCTGGCCTTGGACCCTTCCAGGGATGGGGCACCCTGGAGGCTTTGCCTCCTCTCCAGACCATGAAAGACAAGACTCCTTCATGTCTCACCAGGCACTCCAGCAGTCGAGCAGGGCGGGAGATGATGAGCAGCAGCTTCCTCACCAGCTGGTCGATGAACTTCACCTCCTCGCTCTCCGAACGCTCCTGAGCCTGCCAGAGAGGGGACAGAAGCCAGGGGTGTATTGGTGGCCTCAGGAGGGGGGCACAAGGCAGGGAACCGCCCCGTACTCACGTCTCGCAGCATCTTCTCGAGTTTCTCCTGCAGCTCCATGAAGTAGCGGGAGGTGATGAGAGCTCCCTGGGACTTGGCCAGGCAGTCACGGGCCAACTCGATGATCTGGTGGTGGATGAAGCCCAGCACCCCATCTGCCAGGGGCAGAGTGCTGCTCGAGGAGAAGTTGGTGATGGTGTCCTGCAGACGCTCTTCCATCTGGGCTGTGGCCTGCAAGGAACGGATGGTGATGCCTGGGAACAAAGGTAGCCACGCCACGCCTGGCCAGCCAGGATCTCATCCTACCACCTCCTGCACTGGGTTTGGCCAGCCAGGATCTCATCCTACCACCTCCTGCACTGGGTTTGGCCAACTGGGATCTCATCCTACCACCTCCTGCACTAGGTTTGGCCAGCTGGGATCTCATTCCACCACCCCCTACCTTGGGTTTGGCCAGCTGGGATCTCATCCTACCACCTCCTGTATTTAGTTTGGCCAGCTGGGATCTCATCCTACCACCTCCTACCTTGGGTTTGGCCAGCTGGGATCTCATTCTACCACCTCCTACCTTGGGTTTGGCCAGCTGGGATCTCATTCTACCACCTCCTGCGTTGGGTTTGGCCAACCAGGATCTGATCCTGCTACCTCTCGTGTTGGTTTTGGCCAGCCAGGATCTCGTCCTACCACTTCCTGCAGCTCCAATACCCACAAGCACATCATGGCTTCACCTGGGACCCAGCTTCCAGCAGACTCCCCCAAAGTCTCCAGAGGCCTCTTCCTGCCTGTGTGATGAGGCAGACCCACAGGTCCCTGCACCCCCAACTCGTGTCTCCAGTGTTCTCAACAGCCCCCCAGTATCTACCCACACATTTCATACTCCAGCACAGAGGAGAAGTTGTTCTGGAGAACAATTGGCAGTTACCTTGGGGAACCTCTCCTTGTAGACATGGTTCATCATCACAACCTCATTATCAAACGTTCCACTCGTCCGTCCAGGGCTGCAGAGGGAGGAAACCAGTTGTGTTGTGAGGTTCAGGTCATTTCCATCTATGCAAATAGTTAATACTACCCCTGGAGACCAGTTTGTTCCCTCCTCCTAACTCTTGATTCCAGGTGGTTAAATCTCATCCCAGCAGAGCCATCAGCCTTGGGCCAGCACTTCCAGCACCATCCCTCCCACTGCACATGGATCTGGAATCCTTGGGATGTGGTCCATGGAAGGTCAACCTCCTGCAAACCCAGGTCTCCAAACACAAGCCACTTGAAAATCCAGAGCTGAAAGGCTGGATTTTTCCACTTGGTTTGGAAAAACAAGCTCATCCTTTCCTTCCCCTGGATCCCACGATTTCTTGCCATCCTTGCCCTTTTTCCAGCTCACCAGCAAAAAAAAACAACCCATCCAAACCCTGTGGTGGACACAGGAACCTTCATTAAATGTGGCTTTTCTCCTACCCTCACCTAACACTGCCACTCCCAACCCCTTCCTGGCGATCCCAGGATGCAAAGCAAGCAGCAGGAACTGCCAGCAACTCATTAACCACTATAAAATAATAAATGTGGGGATTAGAACCAGACCCAGGCCGCTCACTGCCAGCCCCAGCCCAACCCCAGCCCAGCCTTTGCTGTGCCAACCAAGAGCTGGCATGTCCTTGGTGAAAACCTCGCCACCTCCAAAACCCTGGCAGATAATTAATCTGATTTTAATGGAATTTCAGCTGGCAACCCACAGGACTGCAGCTCTGCCTCTGGTGCAAAGAAGGCCAGGGTGTTTTTTTTCACAGGGAAAAGAGGATTTAACTAAAACATCCCCTGCAAAAAGCACAGCATTCTGGTGCTGGACAAGTGGAAATGTGGGTGGTTCGTTTTACAAGCCTTGGAGAACCAGTGTGGAGCTCAGCAGGCCTGTAGGGTTAGGTCATACCAGGCTACAGCTTGATGCTCTCTCCAAATTGTCCTCTCTCCAGCCCACAAATGCCCATTCACCTGCACTCCCTGGGGTTTTTTTGCAGAGGCAAAGGCCAGCCCCAGCAAACAAAGGAGATGATTCCTGGTGCCCAGAAATGGAATTTTTAACCTTTTACCAGCAGGTCAGGACTGCAAGGACAGCCACCACTTGGGCTTGTGCTTGGTGGTCCCCTCCTCGCCACCAAAACCATTCAGACAACTGAGCAAGAGGCTGCGAACCAACTATTTTGGAACAAATCCCACTTTCTCCAGCTTCAGCCCCAGGAAACCTCCCCCTCGGGTGCTGTCTGCTGCCAGGAGAGCAATGCCATGTCCCAGCAGCCAAGAAGATGCTGAGAACCAGACCTTGATGCCCACAGAGATGCTGTAACCCCCAGGGATGCTGTAACGCCCTGGGGATGCTTTAACCCCAAGGATCAGGGAACAGTTTGGGTTGGAAGGGACCTTTAAAGCTCATCTAGTCCAATCCTGACATGGGCAGGGACACCTTCCACTAGACCAGGTTGCTGTACCTGAGGCTCCTGGATCGTGGGCGCAGGCAGGGCGAGTGCCGGCCCTCCTCGTCCGTGACGCTTTCCGAACTGCGGAAATGCTTAGAAAGGAAATGCAGCTCGTCGGGGGTGGGCTGGTACGGCAGCTGGTGCAGGCGCTCCTGGGAGGATGAAGATGACTGGGAAGAGAGAGGTGCAGGAGATCAGGGCACGGATCCGCGCTCGCCGGTGGGGGTTTGGGTTTGGAGAATGAGAAAGCTCACGAGGAAGTTATTCCTTGGAGCCTCTCAGAGGGCTGGAAATAACTGCTGAGCTGGAAATACTGCACGGTCTGTGCTCGGGAATGTGAAGTGTGGAGAAGGCAAGCTCAGGAAAGCCTGCACTGCCCAATCCCACCCCAATTCCCGCACTCCAATCTGGCTCCACTGAGCCCCATCCCCTGTACCTGCAGCATCACAGGCAGCTCCTCCCTGGCCATTCCCCTCCATGGTCAGGATGTGTCCAGTGCACCCTGGCCCTGTGACACCCAGGGATGCTGTAATCCCAGGAAAATTGTAATCCAAGGACACTGTAAATCCCAGGGATGCTGCAACCCCAGAGGGTACTTTAACTCCCAGGGATACTGTAACCCTAGGGACACTGTAACCTCAGGGATGCTGTAACTCTGGGGATGCTGTAAAGCCAAGGGATTCCATAATTCCCAGCCATGCTTTAACCCCCAGGGACACTGTGACCCCCAGGGATGCTGTGAGCCCTTAGCCAAGCTTTTTTTAAAGGTTCATTTGGGAAGCACGATGCAGTTAAAGCACAGGGTCCTCTAGGAACTGGGTGGCTGCCCAGGAACTGGCACCACAGGGCCCTCGGGAGGCATTTCACCAAAAATCAAGGGGTTTTGGGTTCTTATCATCTACTGCCTTGAGAAAGCAGATGTTACCGAGACCGTGGAGCTGGGGGTGTTGGTCCCATAGCCAGAGGAGGGTAACGAAGCCAGTGACCACCTTCTGCCATCAGCCCTGCGAGTGCAAACATGACAATCACATAACAGGGCAAAAACCAACACCTAAATGCACATCAATAACATCAGAGCAAAAAGATGGGAAGAGGATTCAGGTTTGAGCAATAAAGCCCTGAAGTCTCTCTTTCAGGATGAACTGAAATCAGGTGAAATAAGGGGTTTGCAGGTGAGGGGGGGCTGTTCTGCAGCCCTGGCACACCGGTGTGTGTGAGCACAGTGACAGTGAGCAGGGTCCCTGTGAAGGGACAGCGCCGGGGCTCACTCGAATCCACTTCAGATAGGTTAAAAAAAAAAAAAAACAAACCCAAAACCCTGGCAGCATTTGATTTTTAATTAGAGCAAAATTCAGCCCACTGGGAGTTTTCCTGATGAGAACCCGGGATTCCCAAAGATTCATCCTGAGACAAGAGGCGCCACAGAGCAGAGCCTGGTTATAAACAGGAAGGCAATTGCTCATATGTAGGCGAGTGCTTCCTCTTGGATATGTTTCTGAAGGATGGGGAGCATCCAGGTCAAGTCGAGGCCCTTCACCTCCCACTGCCGCTTCCCGTGGGGGGTGAAGGACTCCAGGAGCTGGCAGGGTGCTGGATCTGGCTCCCACACCACCTCAATCCCTTCACTGACGGCGTTCCCAAACTCCTGACCCCGCCTGCTGTCTGGCTTTCCACTCTGTTCCAAGTTGTGCAAACAATCCATGAGCCTCCAGCGTTTTTCCATGTGACGATCGATGGGTTAAAATCAGCTTCCATGTGTGCAATTAATTAACTGCTTCAACAGGGTTTTGGTGGCTGCATCTGGAGCAGTGTGGGCCAGAGAGGGGATGCAGCAAGATGTGCCTCTGCAGGGACCTGGACGAACCCAGGGCCATGTGCTGAGCATCCACAAGGAGCACTTGGAGCTGGGGCTGAGCTGGGGGATGATGTGATGGGAAACAGGGATATTTCTGCTCCCAGAGCTGCAGACAGCCCAGTCCTGGGGGAAAAACTCACATCCAGGGATGCAACAAAGAACCCCAGAGTCCTAGATTGGTTTGGGTTGGAAGGGACTTCAAAGACCCCTCAATTCCAACTCCATTGCAATGGGCAGGGACACCACTAATCCAGGGTGCTCCAAGCCCCATCCAGCTTGGCCCTGAAGACTTTAAAAAGAAGGTCTGTGATGATGTGGAGCAGACACCTCCCCAAAATGCAGCCTCTGCCCATCCTGGGTGCTCACCTGTCAGTCCGAGGAGCATGGCTGGGGTGGAGGGAGGAACCAGGCACGGCAGAGCAACCACCACCAGACCAGAAACCAGGCAGAAAAAAAAAGCAAAACCAGAAGGAAACCAAATCACTTGAGATGAACTGAACAGTCCCAGTGGATGGTATTTATTAGTGAACATTACTGGTCTGCAAATAGGGTCGGGAGCTCACCTGCGAGCGAAGGGGAAGTTGATGGAGGTGCTGGCAGAGAAGTTGCGTGGGCTGTCCAAGGGGCTGCTCCCAGCTACCGGGGGAAACAGGGAAAAGTCACCCCAAAACCCACCCCAGTGTGACACAACACGCTGGTCCTCTGGGGAAGGAGAGGGTAAATCACTTCCCAAACTATTCCCTCCTGGAAAAGGCATCTGCAGCCAGGAGCCAGTCCACTGGTTCTAACTAGAGGCTGCAGAAGAGAAGGTTTCCCCACCACCCCTCCAAAACATTCGAGTGAGTTTGGGAGATACTCAACCCACCCACTGGGACATCCCTTACCTGTTGGCACGGAGAGGGGGGACAGAGGCCGTGAGAGGGTCGGAGAGGGGGTGCCCACCACTAAGCTCTTCCTATTGCTGCTTCTGCAACTAGAGAAGGAAAAGAGGGAATTAATTTGGGGAAGCAGAGCTGTCTGGGCTCAGGGATGTAAGGATCTGCTTGTACACGGAGCCTCATGCCACGGAACACGGCTGCTGTCACCCCACTGATTATGGACCTCCCACTGCAGGGAAGATCCATCCCCAGGGTCAGCGCTGCTGGAGATGGACAACAGGGTTATTTTTAACAAAGAACCATCTTATCAAGGTCCCACTTCTGGTTTTAGCTGGCTGGGGAGGGCAGAGGCAGCGGCCCCTTGGCAACAAGCCGAGGGTAGGAATAGAAAAAGGGATGTAAAAGGAGGAAGAGACGGAAATGCCGAGTGGCCACAACCTGACCTGCTCCACTGCGTGGAAAACAACCCCAGTTCCTATAAACCTCCCTACACTTGGTAGTCCCCATGGCACAGCGGAGGGGACACTTGGCCCCTGACCCCCTCAGATTTTGGTGGGATCTCCAGGCATTTGTGTTGCCCTGGCAGCAGGAGGAGGCCACATGTGCCAGCCCCAGGTGAAAAGCAGCACCAGCACCTCGACAACTCAAACACTCCGAAACTCCCATCCTGGTACACCACATCCCACAGAGCATCCCCAAAAGGCCACATCCACAAGCACTGGGTCTTTGTATCCCCCACCTCCACTCCCACCCTCCCAACTCACAGGATTTCAATCCTCGCAGGAATTTCGTTTTTCTTTTCAGCCCTTCCCCAAGCCCTGAGCCCAAAAGCTGCCTTGCAAGACTGACTCAGCCTCAAAAATTCCCACAGGGGAGCTGCAGCTCCACTCCTGTCACACCCCACTCTCACATTTCAGCCCCATTTAAAACATGATGGGCTCAATTTAAGTTCCCTCTCAGTCTGACAAGAAGGAAGTACAGATATCCACGGCACGGAGCAGAAGCTCAAGCACGAGAACAACCTTCCCCTTCCTCTATTTCCGCTTCCTCAGGCTGCAAAGACACTGAGTTTCCTCACCAGGCTGGGAACAGGAACCCACAGAGATGCTTCTAATTAAAGGACACAGTTTAACATCACACCACAGCCAGATACACCCACAACACTGAGAGGATGAACTCTGAGCAAAGGGATTCTCCACGGATCCCAAAACCAGACAGGAATGGCAGATGCAGCATCCAGGGTGTGAAAGACAGTGTTTCACAACCTGGCCTTGGGCACTTCCAGGGATGGGGCAGCCACAGCTTCTCTGGGCAACCTGTGCCAGGGCCTCACCACCCTCACAGGATGGAATTAAAAATTAGGAATTTTTGTCCTAATACCCCATCTAACCCTACCCTCCTGCCCTCTGCCTTTCATTTTCTCACTCTAACACAGGCTCGAACCTCAAGTACAGCTGCAAACTCACAGCCCAGCACCCACCCCTGGGGCAGCAACAACCCACATCCTTGGATGGGAAACCAAGGCAGTGTGAGCAGCCCTGCCCCACCACCACAGTGGCACAGGCAGAGGCTCAGGAACCAGGAGGGCTGCAGAGAGCTGCCAGCCAGCTCCTGTGTTGCTTCCCTGCCTGTCCTGCCACGGGCACTGGGGTGCACAATGTGTGTCTGTGTGTCTTGCTGGGGGGATGGTGCAGCCCAGGGGACGAGGGGCTCCCTCCTGCGTGCTGGGTTTCACTTTAGAAGTGAAAATAAACCTTTAACGAAGCAAGTTCCAGTAATGGTGACACGGAGCAAGGCCGATGTTTCCTGTTTCCGCGCGCTCCACCCTCGGCTCCGCAACCATCTTGCGCCACTTTAACCCCCCTTCGCCTGATGCATCATCTGCAGCTGGTTCCCATCCTTCACTGCACGGAAACCTCGGGCTAGAAACGAGCCCCAGGGCAGAGAGGAGCTGCCAAGCCCCGAAGGCAGGAGCTGGGGCTGCTGCCCTCTCTGCCTCCATCACTTAATTGCACATTTGGTACCAAAAATGGAGTGGAAAATCGCTGTCAGCATCTCCCGCGCTGCTCATGCTGAGGCTGCCTCGGCCGTGGCGCTGCTGTTGCCATCCAGCACTCGTTTCGAAAGGATGTGGGAAGTGTGTGAGAGCCAGGGTGACCCCAAAGCCTGGAGCAAAACAATGTGTCACCTGTTTCTGAGGCTGCCTGCGAGGAGGGACCGGCATCTCCCACACCGCACCGGCACCGAGCCCTGGCACGGCCAGGATGGCCACAGGCGGGAGATGGAGCAGAACCTGGCAGCTTCACAGAATCCTAGAATATCCTGAGTTGAAAGGGATCCACAAGGATCACCAAGTCCCACTCTTGGCCCTGCAGAGCCCCAGCAATCCCACCGTGTGCCCGAGAGCGTTGTCCAAGTGCTCCCTGAGCTCCGGTGGCCTTGGGGTTGGGATCCACTCCCTGGGGAGGTTCCCAGGGGCTGCCTTCTTGGACCTGAGGGAAGAGCAGGATCCTCTGCTCTGCACAGCACAACACTGATGTCTCTAAGTGACAAGTGGCTGTGCCAGGATCTGGGCAAGTGGGGTTGGGTGACACAGAGCCAGCACTCAGGAATATCGAGGGTCGGGCAGGGCCATCATCGGGACACGCACAAAGGGGTTGCAGCTCCCTCTCCTCTCCTGCAGGATCCAACCCCTAAAACTTCCCAGGATGACACAGCACCATGTGCCAGATGCCAGTCTGGTGTGGGGCACAGCTGGCACGTGAATCCGAGGCAGAAAGCCACCGGTTTGGGACAAGGAGGGTGCAGGGTGTTGGGAGCTGCAGGGCAGGGCCGGGTGGTGATAAGGGAGCAGCCACAGTCTCAAAGGGCAGAGCAGGCAGCTCTGCTCCGGCTGTGTGACTGGGAGCACGTGTCACCGCTCCCTCCCTTGCTGGTTGTGGACATTTTTCCTCCATATCCCCCCAGACATGACACTTTTATGTGCCACGGATCGCTGTGTCCTGGAAAAAAATCGCTTTCCAGCAGGATAAATTTCGTGTTTAACTCTGAAACCTGCTGAACCAAGCAGCTGCATCCCAAGTTTCTCCGTGGCATTTGTCCTCATGGCTTGTGACAGGACTGAATTCGGCTGCCTCCAGGGATGGGGCTGGGATGGGTTGGGATGGGGAAGGCTGGGAAGCAGGGTTTGGATGGTGAAATGCAGCACACTGCCTGGCACAGGCCATGCAAGAGCCCACCACATCCTCACACCCCCACCAGGCACCCGGCATCGCTCTCTGGAGCTGCTCTGCACCCTCATCCCACCCCACCCAAAAGCCTGGCACCCTGGATGCTCTTACTAACCCACCCTGGAGCACCAAGCAACACGCTGGGCACCTCCCAAGGGCAAAATCCCAAATCCTCAAAGGGAACCACAGGGTAACAGGTTGGGTATAGACTAATTTATTACTTTCCACTCCAAGAAAACAGCCTAAAGGAACTGCTCAGCACCCTGGTCTGCATCCCTGCATGTCCCTGTGCCAATGTTTTCCTGCTGGTGGGAAGGAAATGGTACCTGTTAGATTTGCTGGTCAGTTCTCCTGCGGTGTGTGGGGTGTGAACAGCCACGGGCAGCATCCACAGAGAAGGAGAACCCCATCAGCCACAGAACCACCAGCTCCCCTGCCCTGCACCGGCCCTCTCAGCATCCCCCTCCCACCCTCAGGAAATTAGGATCCCTCAAACCTCTTAATCCCACTAAATAACATAATATGCTTTCTGCCCACTGTAAAATAGGCCAGAGCGGTTCTCACCGTGGATTCTAGGAATACCAGCGAAAGAAGAGCAAATCCTCTGCCCTTCATGAGAATTACAGCCTCATCATGCTCAGCTGGAGACAGATGACTGCCTAGATCATCTTTCCAATTACACATCTCTCCCAGGGCCCCCCCCGCCCCCCCTGCTCGGCCACCCCAGGTTGGAAAACCCCATCCAATGCCTTTTCTTAATTATTAACTGTCCTTCTCGCCCATCCCTGTGTGCCAGCAGCAGGAATTCCCACAGCCCAGGTGAAGCAGGAGCCTTCCCAAGGTTGGGATGGGGTGGATTCATTTGCTAAGCAACCGTGCTGCTTTGTGCCAGCTCCCAGGAACGCTGAGAGACATTCCCAATGGGAATCTCTCTCCTCTGCCTCCGCGCTGTCTTAAACATCTCCTTCACACAAAGCCTTGGGAGGGTTTAATGCCTGGGCCAGACAAAGCCCCCCCAAACCTGCTGGGTGGAGGTCCCAGCCTCCATCACCCCTGCCTGGGGGGGCTCAGTGGGTGCTCCTGTCCCCCTCCTTGGGGACATGTCCCACCAGCCAGCCTGGGTCAAGCCTGGCACTGCAGCTGGAGACCCCACCCCTTGCACCCCATTTATGCAGCCCCCCCATCACTGCCCCTACCCCCATGACAAAGGGGTTGTGAGTCCTTTGCCCTCCCAGACTTCTGGCACCCTGGGGTCCCTCACCCTGGCTCGGGCCATGTGCCACACGAGACACATCCCAAAAGAAGATGCACCTCCGGTGCACATCCCCCTCCCCAAACCACACACCTGGGTGTGCCCTCCTCCGTGCACAGACCTGCCCCCCATGCACAAGTCTGTGTTCCCCATGGTGCACAGACACCCCCTGAGGCACTGCCCCCTCAAACCAGCCACACGTGCCTCCCCAATGCTAAGCCCCCTCCCC